AAAATCACAGCCTTTCATTCAATTTGGTTGATTAGTACTTGTGTAATTTTTGACCAAAACAGTTGTAACTACAGTTTATAGCATTATCATGTTATCTTATGATTTAGGATCTTCCCCAGTATAATCTATGGTTTATAACATTATCATGTATCCTACGATTTGGGATCTTGCACAACATAATCTAAGTTGGGATATTCCTAAGTATAATCTGAGTTGGGATCTTCCCTAGTATTTTCTCCAATATTTCTGAAAGTTGGGATCTTCCCCATTCTTAGGTTGGGATTTTCCCTAGTAAAAATCTAAGTTGGGATCTTCCCCAGTGAATTACTATGTGGGATCTTTCCCAATATTACCTGAGTTGGGACTTTTCCTAGTAAATTCTAAAGTTAGGAGCATCTCCCAAAAACATATTCAGAAGAATTCTCTTCAAGATGATAAAACCTATCCAAAGAAATGTTCAGAGAGATGACCAAAAAATCAATTGGAGTTTAAGTTGACATCAGGTTCTATCTATCATTACACCTAAGATTATCCTTTACAGTTCTTTTTCCTTGAAAAAGTTCTGCAACAACTTTCATGATTTTTTAAATAAAATTTAAGGATCATGTATATTACAGGATCCCTATCAGATGGTTATTTATTTCAGATTATTAAGATCCTAGTAGTTTGTATAAACTCTAAACTTCTTAGGGTCTTAATTATCCAAAAAGCTTTTGAAAAACCCATTATCCTCTTTCTACAACCAAAGCAACCATGCACGAAAAGAGAAAAACCAAACCATTAAATTTAAAAGGGGTTTCCCTCCAACCCAGCCAAAGAAAATATTGTTTTACATACCTCAAAAAATAAAATTGTTTTAAAAATTAATCCAACCTAATTTAAAGTTTGATCACCCCCATTCGGGGTATCCTCTGTCACCTTCTTCTATTCCTCCCTTCTCTTCTTCTTCTCTACAGGATCCTGAATGGTATTAACGTCCCTACCATTTAACTTGGCTAGATCTTCACATCAACCACCCATATTCCAAGATCATGCATTCACCATATCCTTCGTCAAATTAATCTTCGTCTCCCAGATGGCTTCGGAAGCACTGCTCTTAACCTCAACAATCACCTGCTTGATCTCCAAGGCATGCTCCAGGAGGGTGTTTTCCCTTCTTGGCCACGAGCTGACCGCTAGACATGTCCTCATCAGGTTCCGAGAGAGAGAAACGAGCGCTAGAATGTGTAGCCTTGGATCCGAAAATTGCTAAGAACCCTCATTGGTTTGAGATCCCCATAATGAAACAAGAAGGATCCTAACCAGTAGACATCAGAGCATTTGTGGAAAAACCTTCTTGGAAGCTGGAATGGTCAAACATGAAAGATCTTTCAGCCCAGGCAAAGCGAGAAAGCTTTCAATATTCTCCTCAGTATCTTCAGTAGCTGGAACAACTTCCTCGAACATGAAAGCTACATCAAAACAAATAAAATAAAGAAGTGTGAATTTTGGGATCCTTATCATAATTAAATAAAATCACACCCTTTTTAACAAAGTTTATTGGCAGGAGATTGTCGTTGGGGATAGAGTTGTGTTTCACAACGAAAAACCATTCTTTCCAGGCACCATATTTTTGTTTTCAAAAATAAATGTGATTTGTTAGTTTTGGCTGTGAGTAGGAAATGAGAAGTTACAAAAGTTTGAAGATCATAAACATTGGTCAATTCAGCTAACCCTATGTCAATGTTTTTAGACTGATTCATCCAATCGATCCAAAAGAGGATCCTCTAGATAACAGGCATAGTTTGAAAATAAGACATTTTTGTAACATCGAAAAACTTAGAGATGATGCCAAAAAAAGGGTATGTCAAGCCTAAGGAGAATGGATATTCAGGAAAACAAACCCAAGTAGCAAAGACGAAGCCAATATTGGCCTTAGCATCAAAAGACTTAAAAATGACGTTGACATGAAAAGCTCCGATCGATTTCAAGGACTCAGAGTTGTTACCATTAAAAAGAGCAAGTTTCTTCCTAAGACAAGATCTTTTGATCGACGAAGTCCGTATTAGGAAGAGAAAGGATGATCGAGCAAGAAGGGAGTGCCTTTTTATCCATGATTATTAAACAAGAAAAATGAGAAGAAATGAACAAGAAATTTACCTTCAAGATAACTAATAAAGCTTAAAAGAAATATAAAAGAAGTAAAAGAAGATCGATAACCATTAACCCCTATTTATGAGGATCACATAGGATAGAGAAGTGATTTGACACATAATCATATCTTTTGAACGGATACAATTTTATCAATTAGAGTTTGAGTTTCAAATCTTTTAGTTCTAATTAATTAAATTATACACTTTAAATTCTTGAAATTAGTTGAATTATTTTGCAGGTATAATTTGGGGGCAATTGTTAGGGGTCAAGATCCTAAAACCTATCCAGGATCCCGGATCTTAAAGGAGTTTCAGGATACCGAACATACATTAGGATCCTGAACACCGCCATTATTATTTTCTAACAAGTTTAACGGCTATATTTCGTGTTTATTTCTCACATGTGCGGAAATGGTCAACATAAGACTCATTCATAACAAAGAACCACTTCAACCAGGCTTAAAACCCGGGAATACCAAGTCAAACCACGTTACAAATATCAGTTCAATAGGATCCCAAAAATATCAGACTTTTAGTTACATAACCTAGACTAAATATACGCTTATAACATGCACACAATGACACAATTAGCTGACACCTTAGACACCTTAAGCTACTGAAACACTTGTACTCATTTCTTCATCATTTTTTCTGTAAGTTATTTTTTAATCAATAAAATCAAACAAAGCAGGTGATCATTATCACCTCCTAGGGTTTTATGTCGGAGATCCTATCATGGACCAAGGGCTTTCATTGTAAACCACTTGTGTCACTTCGGTCTCAATCTTATACTTATATTAATCACAACATCACAACTCTCATACAATTTGGTTGATTTTGAATTAGTTGATTTTTGACAAAAAAAAAAACAGTGAGAAACACATCTTTGATGGTTTTAAATTACCTAATAATGGACCAGTGATCAACCATCTACTATATACTGACGGTGGTTAATTCATTGGTGATTCGTGCATGAAAAATATTAAAATTTTGGCTAGAATTCTTCGTTGTTTTCATGCCTCTTCAGGTCTCAAGGTGATTTTTTATAAACCTAAAGTATTCGATTAGGATTTGATCCTCAAGGAACCGCAAGTTGGTCCCATATTCCGTTGCGAGCCGTCTGTATTCCCTTTCACATATCTTGGTGTTCCTGTTAGGGCTAACATGAATCATATCAGTAGCTGGAAACCTATTATTGAGAAATTAAGCCAAGTTATCCAGTTGGAAAGCCAAAAATCTATCGTTTGGAGGGCTCCTAACACTAATTCAACTATTGTTGGGAAACCCCCTACTTACTTTTTTTTCTCTATTTGTTGCACCTATAGGTGTTATGTCGTATCTTGAAAGAATAAGAATAAGGTTCCTTTGGGGAGGATCAGATGATAATCGAAAGATAAGTTGGATAGCGTGGGACAAATTCATTATGGCCAAAAAAGATGTTGGTCTTAGAGTGGGAAGTTGAAAGATCTAAATGTTGCCCTCATTTGCAAGTGGTGGTGGCACCTTAAAGTTCAAGATACATCACTTTGAAGTAAAGTAATCAATAGTATACACAATCTAAAATCGAAACTAGCAAATCAATTAGCAAAAAATTCATTAACATGGGTTTGGAGCAACATTGCTAGAATTAAATGTGAGTTGGTCAAAAAAGGAAAACTGAATCAACACCCTCTTTAGAAGACAAATGAACTCTAGTGAAGATACCACGTTTCGAGCTAACGATTGGCTTGGTTCTTGGGCTCTAATGATGTTATTTCCGGATTTGTATAGCTTGGAATCACACAAAAGATGCAAGGTATCTGATAGAATCTTTGGAAATGGTCTTTCGTGGTCTTGGACACATCCCCCGCCTGCTTCACAGTTGAACTAGTTATCCCAGACTCTGGCATCCATCAGACTCAATTCTCAAAAGGCTTGTGGATCTTTGAACTATCAACAACAGGTGTTTATACAGTGGAAGCATGTAGGTGTAGATTGGGGAAAACACAAGGCAATAGTACATTGGATCCCTTTGTTTGGCTGAGGGAGATTCCAATCTAGATGGTATGTTTTACTTGGCGTGCTGCTCAAAACCGGATACCGGTTGCGGCTGCTCTTAAATATGGTGGTATAAATCTGAGATCTGCCCTTTATAGTGCTTGCAAATTGAGGATTATTTCATATATAACTTACATTGTGAATGTCCATTTGCGAGAGTGACGTGGGATTGGACTTATAGATGGTGTGGCATTTCAGAGCAGCAATTCACAAAGGTTCAGGAGATTTTTGAATTTGTAGCCTCATGGAGGAATTGCCCAAAGAAAAGAAAATTCTTCATTGGAATATGTTATGACACTTTGTGGAGTTTATGGAGAGCTCGGAATGATATAAGCTTCAATAGTATTTTTATGGTTCAAACATAGGAGCAATTTAGGAGTGGGAGATTGGATTGAGTGGAGTAAATGTCCTCTCCCTCTTTAATTCCCTGTATTTTTTTTATGTTTTGAACAACTATGTATCTGTTTTCTGGCCTAGGTCGGTGCTAGGTAGCGCTTTTTCGTTTAATATATATTTGTCGATTCCAAAAATAAATAAATAAAATCTAGTCACATATTATTTCTCAAACTTGAAATACTTAATGGATTCAATAGACCATTTAAGAAGTATAGGGGTACTTACGTTCATGAAACAACGAAAATCTTAGGGGCCTAAGTGCCACATGCCCATTGCTTTCAAATAACAGTCGACACTACTGCTGACCGACAATCGCCTACACCTCATTTTGCATGAAACTTTTAGTTCTCGTGGAAACTGTGCCCTGCCCTTTGCGCGACGTCGACTATGTTTATTGTATAAATTAATACAAAATCACCGATTGATCAATAGGTATATCTTGATATGAAAACAACGATCACTTCTCAGTAAATTTCATCTCTTTGTGAATCATACTACTTCATTATGTCTGATAACGATCTACCGGTTTCTATTCAACCAGTGGTTCGCCTTTTTCCCTTTTCTAATGCTTAACTGTACATGTTCATGTTCTTATTAATTATGCATTTGTCGTGATGAAGGCATGTTTCTCGATAACACAAGTTATAATACGAGCAGTTGAAAATTAAATTTTGTGTATTGTTTATTGGGATATTTCAAAGGTTCAGGACGAAGAAGAGAGCTTGAAGTACCTGGACGTAGTGCAAAAAACAGCAGAAAATGCAGTTCCTTATGTATCAAAGGCCTATGATTACGCTAAGGACAACAGTGGGACCCTCAAACCTGGCGTGGAGACAACAGAGGGTACTCTCAAGACTGTTGTTGGCCCTGCTATTGATACGTTTCAGGATGTCCCTGTTAACGTCCTAAAGTTTTTCGATCGTAAGACTGCCGAATCTGTTAGCAAAGCCAAGTCTATTAGTGTGGCTTCTGACAAAAAGAATGACGTAGGTGTGGTGGAAACGGCATCTGGACTCACAAAAACCGCATACACCAAGATAGAGCCGACTGCGAAAGAACTGTTAGTGAAATACGAGCCAGTTGCAGAGGAACATGCTGCTTCAGCTTGGCAATCTGTTAACAAGGTGCCACTCTTCCATAGTGTGGCTAACGCGGTTATACCAACAGCAGGTTACGTTTCTGAGAAGTATAACGAGACTGTGCAGCAAACAACCGAGGAAGGATACAAGGCTTCTTCATATCTGCCATTGGTGCCCACTGAAAAGATCGCCAAGGTATTCAAGGCTCCTGATCCAGAAGAAGAAGACGAACAAGAACGGGTGGTTCCCAGTGGAGCCGAAGGAACTGTGCACGTTGATTAATATCAATACCGAATGATGATTATGATGATTGCAGAGATGGAATACAGTAAATGCTTGTTTTGGTTTATTTGTCAATGTGTTTTCGTACTCTGTCAAATACCTAGCTAAAACGATCGCCTCAATGTTGTTATTAACACCTTAGAGACTACAAGATCAGGATATAGTGATCGTAGAGATCTTGTTGCTAATAATACATGTTTATATATGATGAACATATGTATTTAATTATTTTGCTTATAAATTATTATTTGTGTATCTCCGTACCCGATTATATCTTGGTTTAGGTCATTTTTGGTCACTTAACTTTTGGTTTTGTATTCATTTGGTCACTTAACTCATTTTAAGTTTTAAAAGGTCATTGAACTTTTGATATTGTGTTCATTTAGTCACCTAGCATTTGGTTTGGTCACTTAACTTCTGACTTTATACTCATTTAGTCACCTAACTTTTAAAATTATGTTTTTTTAGTCACCTAACTTTTAAAATTGTTTTCATTTTCATAACTTTATTTTAAAAGTTGTGACTAAACAAACACAATTTTAAAGGTTACGTGACTAAATTACCACAAAACCAAAAGTTAAGTAACCAAACCAAAAGTTACGTGACTAAATAAGCACAAAGTCAAAAATTTGTTGACATTTTAAAACCTAAAATGAGTTAAATGACAAATTAAACACCAAGCCAAAAGTTAAATGACCAAAAATAATCTAAATTTGTTATATTATGCAAATGTATTTCTTTAGTATTAGGGGAATATATTTCAATTTTTTTGGACTACTATTATACTTTATCCTCTTCGTACACATTATGTATAAAAGGAATAAATAAATAAATAATTCATACATATCCCTTAGTACACATTATGAAAAATGGAAAAAATAAATAAATAAATAATTCATATACATCCATACAATTTTAATTATTACGTCTATATCCTTCCAAAATACATATATATCCTTGTTAACCTATTAAACTCACATTTAAATCCAAAAATATATTTAAATTAGGTTTAAATAAACATAATATTAAAATTTTTATCTAAAATTCAAAAACTACATATGACTAAAATAGCCTTCTTGAATCAATGATTAAAATTAAACTATATATTTAGTAGAATGTTGTCGTCTTCAACAAATGTTATCACAATGCACCAACCATTTTGCTCTTATCACACCTCTCCCAAAGCTCACATTCTTTCTTGCTAGAAATTCTTAAATTCTAATATTAATTCAACAATTTTAACCACAATCCAATACATCATTTTCACCTTCAAGTCATTTCTTTTAACTATAATCTATATTGTTTTAAGTGGCTACCTGGTTAATTCGATCCATTCCAGATCTCACCTTAAATTCCCATCAATTAATTGATGTGTTTTCTCAACAGAAACACTGTCACCCAACATTTTATTGGATTGAGTTGTTTAAGGTCATAACCAAATTGTTATATTCTTGTAATTAAAAGCAATGACTTTTTAGAGTGACGTTCATAACTAGAATTACTTTAGAATGACATTTGGTGAAAGAGAAAATGATTTATTAATTTATTATGATTAATAAATTTATTAGAAATTCATTAAAATTGATTTGTAATTGATCACGATTAATTTCGAATTAATTTTGGATCAACTGGAATTATTTAGAGGTACAAGAGTTGATCTGTAATTGCTTAATAGTTGAGCAAAGGAAGGGTTCTAGATACTTCTTTTCTTGGACGGTTTAGGAGGTTCCTTAGGGAGTTTCTGGAAGCCTTCGGATATTGATAAGGATAACTACTTGATTTGGATTAGAATAATATTATTTTGAATTCAAATTAGGGTTTCTCCTTGTTATCTGACAAGTATAAATAGACCATTTAGGGTGTGATTTTCGACACATCTATTTTCTGGTAAAACCTTGGCCAAAAATATCCTCCGTCTTCTCTCTCTCTCTCTCTCTCTCTCTCTCTCTCTCTCTCTCTCTCTCTCTCTCTCTCTCTCTCTATCTATCTATCTATCTCTCTCACTTTCTCAAGTTATATTCTAGTATCTAGGGTTTGGGTGTGAGTCATTAAAGGCATCCATATTTTTTGGTGCTAGCTTTCTGAACATCTAGAGGATAGTGTCTACTAGTGCAATATCCAAGTTATATAATCTTAAATAGTATTTTTCATTTACATCTACGGTTTCTTTTAGTTTCATAAGTATGTTGTTATTAGTTGTTAAAAGACATGGATCCAATAGGTTGCATGTACACATAAGTATTAAGTGATTTTCCGCATGTACATTGATTTTGTGACCTATAAATTCCAACAGTCATATCTGAGCCATGTCTTACAATTATATGTACATAATAGATAAACCTTCAAAAATAATTGTAGGGAGCGACATGCTTTTTTAAATATTTGTTTTTCTGTTTTGGCTTGCCTAATTCGATTAGTAGGGTAAATTTTAGTCATTATCTATTATTTTATCTATTAAAATCTGAATCTTATAATGTTAGATTAATTTAAAACCCTAATTCGAATTTTGTGGAATTAAATAAGGAAACCTAATTTTTAACTATAAGATAATTAAATGGAATTATCATTAATGGATTTTAATATAAAATTTAATAAATGGTAGATCAAAATATAAATATTAAATCCATAACTGGTTTAAATGATTAATTAATTTATTTATAATTCAGAAAAATTAAATTTAAACCTTGAAAATTTTAAATGTTCAAAAATACACCCAATGCATATATAAGAACCTTAATAATATATATATATATATATATATATATATATATATATATATATATATAAATTTTAGTCAAATGAATAGTAGACCTCATTCACGAAACCACACTATAAGAGAGGTATATGAAAACGACCTATTGACCGTTGAATGGGTGTCCATTTCACTCATCGCTTCTTTGTGTGGTGGACGGTCATTAGCCAAACGAGTTTGATAGGGCATAAATAACATTAAAAGTATAATAAATAAAGTACTAGAACATTCTACAAATCTCACTCTAGTTAGTTTAGGAAACAAATATGTGAAATGCATGGTAATCCATGAAAACGCACATCATTTCTTTGTTAGTAGTTAGTGGAGTGTGTGTGGTTAACCAACACTCTAATGTGGGACTATAAAGATGAAATGATGATACATACTCGAATTTATGATTGTTGATGGAGCGTGTGTGGTTAACCGGCACATCAATATGAGGTCATAAACAACCTCGAGTATCTCATGCGGGTTTCCATGGTTATTCACATCTTATTTGTGATCCTCGGTATCCAAGTCACAAAGAGAAGAGCATAACCTAAGATTAAGCATGTCATTGATAAGATTGAATGAATCTCATAAGTTCTAGGAATTTCATATTAGATTGAAGTTGGTAATGTGCCTTACCTACCTAAATAAATTCGTAATTAAATAACGACATCCCTCTTCTCAATTTCGAATTGTATTTTGCATCCTAGCCTTGAATATTAATTTGGGTTTAAATATTAAGGATTAATCAACCAACTAAAACTTCTCTCTTAAAGATGTTTGGATTCAACAATGTTCATGCTGATTCGCGTCTTCTCATGCTTTATCACCTACCTTCCTGCTGAGCAAACAACCCTCCTATCTATTCTTATGAGGCTTGAAAGACATGATATCACTAAACCATAAATTAATGGAAAGCACAAAGAAGGAACTTATGTGTGTACTTATGTCGACAAAGTGAAGACTTACATTGACAATCTGGTCAGTATATGTAGAGTGTTTCCTAAGGAATTTGTTATAGATTTAATTCTAATCTTACTCCAACAAAGTTATAAGGGTTTTGTAGCAAACTTTCACCTGAAGAATCATAAAGTCACACTCATGGAACTTTTGAGTTTGTTAGCGGCTGAAGAAGCCAAATTTATCGAAATGGAAATCATGGCATGTTCCATAGTTATTGATAGTGGGGATGATCTTGAGAAAAAAGGTGGTTTCTCTCCTCAAGGAAAATGAGAGACTAGTGAGTAAAATGATTAATCAAGGACTCAAGAGAAATGCTGACCACGAAATTGCTCTGAACCATGACTCAGTTGAGGCATATTGTCCTTACTGTGAATTGAAAGAATATGGGAAAATGAGCTACCAAAAATACTTGAAGGATGTTTCGGATTAGTCGGTTCAGGCAACCGAATCTAATTTAGGTAATTACTAAAACATCTCACACTACTAGAATCGCTAGTCCTAGATACCGGATATGTTTTATTTCTCACATATGCTTGGTATTGCAGGAACTGAAGGGTAAAATCTTGAGCGTAGAAGTGATCAATCCACCTATGGAACTGGAGAAAGGTCTTTTCTTGCATCGGTTGGAGAGATCAAGTTGAAGCTTATAATAGATTTATGACTAGTTTAGTTTTAGACAAAAAAAAATTTATTCTTCTAATATGAAAAAGATAATGACAATGGATCTATTTTTGTTTACAAGAATGGTGTTTTTATATTCAAAGTTTTTCCTTGTAATGACATGTATGAAACTATTATAAGTGTTGATAACTTAGGCAATACTGTATTTAATATTGATTCTTCTAAAGGCATAGACTTAAAATCTGATGATGAATGTGAATCATGTCTATTGGGTAACATGACTAAGTCACCTTTGACGAGAACATGTGAAATTTGTGAAGGATTTTTGGACATGATCCATACTAACGTATGTGGATCTTTCAGATCTTCCATAAGGGATGCTAATTGCTACTACATGACATTTACTGATGATTATAGCAGATATAGATATATATACTTATTCAAACATAAATCAAAAACTTTTTAAAGGTTCAAGGAGTTTAAGAACAAAGAAGTGAACCAGTTGGGAAAGAAGATAAAAATGCTCCAATCTGATAGATGTGGAGAATATCTTAGTATCGGGTTCAACGACTACTTCAAGGAATGTGGAATCGTTTCAAAACTGGCACCTTCTAGAACACCACAACTTAATGGTGTGGTTGAGAAACACAATCAAATCTTGTTGGACATGTTTTGCTCTACGATGAGTCAAGTCATTCTTCCTATATCATTATGGGGTATACTTGAGAGACAGCCACTCATATCCTAAATTATGTTCCAACGAAGAAGGTTACCAAGACACCTCATGAGATGCGGACAAGGAAATCTCCCTCGATCGCATATAT